ATCTGGATTGTCTTTAACAATTTAAGTCTAAATCATCAAATAATCATCAAAACATATAAAACATTTTGAAACTAGAGTTGTCATTATGCTTAAAAATCATTAGTTTTACTGGAAAAATTTGTTTCATTGCTTTTAATCAATTGATTTTTGTCCCAATATATAAATATAAAATATCATTTTTGGCCTGTTTCATTTTAATTTAATTACAAAATGTATTTAATTTAGTATTATTTCTCCTCCTTGAGATTTTTTTTTATTTTCTTTGATTCATTTATGATTTTTTTTTTTTTTTTGCCAAACCAAATGCATATATTGCCTTATAATAAAATAAAAAAAAAATCAACTAATAATAGTTGCATTTTTCTATCTATATGATTTATGGGTTAATTTCTGCATCATCTGGATTGTCTTTAACAATTTAAGTCTAAATCATCAAATAATCATCAAAACATAAAACATTCTGAAACTAGAGTTGTCAATATGCTTAAAAATAGAACAAATCACTTAAAAATAGTTCAAATTAGAAGTTATTCATATTGTTTTTGACACATTAGGCATTTCTGTACATTTATAACCAGTGTCTGATTTTCTCAATCAGGTTTTATAAGAACAACAATCTCACACTGATGATGTAGACGTCTCAGAAATTTACGTTTCAAAACTGTAAAATACAGTTTAATGCAATATTTGATGTTTCCTCTGATTATTGATTCGTCCTGTAAAAACTCATTAAGGGAAACGCCTTTATAGCTTTTGACGGACAAACGTTTAATTACATCGGTTAGTGGAAAACCTTAATTAAATGTCAAAAAAGACATTTAACATCAAACAGTTGAGATGTGTTGCTAAATAATTATAGATCAACACTGAAATATCAGCTATTCTTTTGGTTTTATGTCTTAATATTATTTTACCATTGCTTAGATATAGTAAACGCAGCACGCCCTACCTGGTGTTTCATATATTATAAATATTTAGACCAATTCAATCACATCTTCCTCAAATAAAAACATGTTTTTTACTTAAATAAGTTTTAATTATAAGTGTCTTTTTCTTTTGGTTGCCTTTTTATTTATTTATACATCCAATATCTTCATTGCGAGCAAAGTGGAAGCAGAATTAAATTCCTTGTTTGATAAATTTGGTGATTAAAGCTGGAAGATATGTTGGTTTGAGGAGATCTTTTTTTCTGTCGTTTCTGTTGAGCAGCATTCATTTTTTTGGTGAAGTTAGAAATTATCTTTATCATCCATCAAATACATGTTAAAATACCAAGTTGTTAGATAATAATTAGGTGTAAACTCTGCAGCTGATTTATGTAACTGTTTTATGGTCAGATTCAGACATAGATGCTGAAAATAGGCCATTTTTATGACATTTTATTAGTGGATTTGAATTCAACTAAAGATCATTAAACTAATCCTCTCACTGTAAGGATAAAATGTATTTATGCAAATTAATATTGTCTGTAGCAGTCAATGGGAAAGTACTTCCTGTAAGTTATTATTATACACTGCAAAAAACATCTAGAAATAAGTAAAATAATGTCTTAAATTAAGTGTATTTACCCTTAACTTGAGCAGGTAAATAAGATATTCTGCCAATGGAGTATTTTTACTCTAAAAATAATTAGATAATATACACTTGAAATAAGACAATGCAATTGTTTTTTTCTTATTTTAAATGTAAATTGTCTTGTTCCATTGGCAGAGTGTCTCACTTACCCCCTCAATTCAAGAAAAAACGCACTTAATTTGAGCAAAAATGACTTATTTAGATTTCCATTTTTTGCAGTGTAAGTCTGTTATATGGACCTGCGCTTTAAAGTCGATCACCTCTGGAGTCCTTATTAACCAAAGCACATCGTATTGTTCTAAAAATATACTTTTAATGTAGTCAAATTGGTTAAAGATATTAGATTTGTTTTGAATATATAGAAATAAAAGAAAATGTTAAATCCATAAATACCTAATTTCACTAGATTGTTTAACTTTAAAGTCAGGATGTTAAATTCCACCAATAAAATCCATGAATGATAAAGAATCTGGTAGATTTAACTTCTCTTACTTCTTTTACATTTGTCCAAACTTAAGTCCACAGCGCTGGATTTAAGTGAAAAACTTAATTTAATTTTTCAACTTAATTTTCTTTACAGAGATCATTATGTTGAGTAAACATATTACATTTTTTTGCAGCATTTAAAGAACAGAGTTTAGTGAAACCAGTTAATATCACTTGGTTTAGTAGATTCATTCTTCACAGTGTACTGCAAAAACAATCTAGAAATAAGTAAAGATGACTTAAATGAAGTGTATTTACCCTTAATTTGAGTAGGTAAGTTAGAGGATTTGCCAATGGAATCAGTATTTTTACTCTTAAAATAAGATAGATAAAATGCACTTGAAATAAGACAAAGCAATGGTTTTTTTCTTATTTTAAATGTAAAGTGTCTTGTTCCATTTGCAAAGTGTCTCACTTACCTCCTTAATTCAAGAAAAAATGCACTGATTTTAAGAAAAAATGACTTAAGATTTACATACTTCTCCATTTTAAGCTATAAGGTATAAATTGTAACGTTTGGTTTGTCTCAGAGGTCAGATTAGTTGCAGCGGAAATCCCTTTGTCAGGATAAGTTATAATCTTCATTGTGTGATTCACAAGGTTAGGAGGACAGATAAAGTTCAGGCCTGTAGAGACATGATGATAACTCTGGTTTGATAGAAACAGAACATTATGTTTATAATAGTAGCATTAAGAA